CTTAGTTTCATATTGTGACAATTTGTAATTTTATAAAACTCTCATTCGGTTTGATGATTTCTCATTTATTTGTGCACATATTTATTTATTTTTGAGAAATATCAAAGTTAGGCATAAGATGAAGTAACCAGTTCAGAAAAATCAAAAGAAGTTGAACTATAAAACAAATGGAGTTCGAAATGGGAAAAATAAGATGGATGGGAATTTTAATGAATCAACTATGGTGGGTACTTTTCCTCCTTGTACTACATGCAAAAGAACAAATCACTTGTCAAAAGATTATTGGTATAAGGGGAAACCTCAAATTCAATGTAACAATTGCAAAAAGTTGGGACATAAAGAGAGGTACTGCAGATTTGCAAAACCAAACTCTACCACAACATGTGCATAAAGTTAATTTCACCGATGAGCAACCCCAAACTGAAGATCACTTGTTTATGGCTTCTCAATCATGCAGTATAAGTTCAAAGGATGTATGGTATGTTGATAGTGGTTGCACAAACCACATGGCATGGGATTCAAGTATCTTCACATCTTTGGATAGGGCTGTTTAAACCAAAGTTAAGCTTGGAAATAGAGAAATTGTTCACACTAAAGGAAAGGTACAATTTTTGTTCACACTAGCAAAGGTCCTAAATTTATTCATGATGTCTTGTTAATTCCAGGCTTTGATCAAAATTTGTTTAGTGTTGCTTAGCTAATGAAGAAAGGATGTTCACTTTCTTTTAAAAACAATGGTTGCCCCATTTTGGATTCTAATGATTTTGAAGTTCTTAATGTTGAAATGTGTGATAATAGCTTTCCAATTAGTTTGAATGAAAACATGGGTGTATTTTTTGGCAAGCAAAGCTAAAACTTTTAATGTCTTTAAAAAGTTTAGAGCTATGATGAAGTCTCAAAGTGGTTGCAAAATTAAAATGTTGAGATCAGATAATAGATAATAGGAAGGAGTATACTTCTAATGAATTCAACTTGTTTTCTGAAGATATGGGGTATTATTCATCAATTGACAGATAGTTATACTCCTGAACAGAATGGAGTTTCTAAAAGAAAAAACAAATCAGTTATGGAGATGCAAGATGTTTGATTGTAGGAAAAAAGTTACCAAAAAGCTTTTGGGCTGAAGTTATTTTTACAACAATGTATCTCTTGAATAGGCTATCCACAAAAGTTGTTCAAAAGAAAACACTAATTGAAGCTTGGATGGAAATGAAGCCCATTGCAAAACACTTAAAGATCTTTTTATCAATATGCTATGTTCATATTACAGCAGCTAAAAGATCCAAATTGGATGACAAAGCTGAAATGGGAATCTTCCTACGCTATGCTGCAAGCTCCAAAGGTTATAGAGTGTATAATCTCAAGTCAAAACAGATTATGATAAGCAGGGATGTTTAATTTGATGAGAAAGCATATTGGGATTGAGAAAATAATCAAATTCAAAGAAGTACGAAGGTTGAACAACAGCAGGCTACAAGGACAGATGAAAGTCATATTGATGAATTGGATTCTCCAGTGCTCAAAACCAAATCTTTGGCTGAAATTTATGAAAAATGAAGTTTTGTGATCAATGAACCTTCTTGTTTTGAAGAAGCTTCAATGCAAACAGAATGGAATGATGCAATGAAGGAAGAGGCTAGCTATGATTAACAAAAATAGTACTTGGGAACTCATTTCAAGGCCCAATAACAAACATGTGATTGGTGTAAAATGGGTTTACAGAACAAAGTTACATCCTTATGGTTCTATTCACAAACATAAAGCTAGACTTGTTGTGAAGGGATATTCTCAAATGGCTAAAGTTGATTATGGTGATACATTTGTGCCTATGCTAGGCATGAAATAATTAGATTAATTGTTGCTTTGTCAGCTTAATACAGGTGAAAAATCTTTCACTTGGATGTGAAATCAACATTCTAAAATAGTGTTTTGAAAGAAGAAATTTATGTTGAGCATCCTAATGGTTTCATTGTTGTTGGTCATGAAGATAAAGTTTATAGGCTTCACACAACCTTGTATGGGTCAAAACAAGCTCCAAGAGTTTGGTTCAATAAAATTGACTCACATTTTTTGCAAAATAATTTTAGTAGGAGTCAAAATGAGCCTACTCTTTATGTCAATGACTGTGGCAATGGGAAGAAAATTGTGTTACTATATGTTCATGATTTGCTAATTACAGGTGATGATATTGACTGACGAAATTGATAAGTTTAAAAAGAGCATATTGCAGGTGTTTGAAATGGCTGATCTTGGAGTGATCGGATGTTTTTAAGCACTTACCTGTCCCACGTATAGGTCCATTCTCCTTGATCTGCAACATAAATTAATAAGCAGTTAAAATTATCATTAGTCTATGTGTACATTGCCCCAATGATTTATAAAAAAAAGAAAAGAAAAACAGTTCACCTTTATTTAAGAAACGCATACCAATGGGTTGAGTCTCCATACTTTTCGTCTTCATTATTTGATTCTCGTGGTTTCATTTCTTCCTCTCTCTGTTTTTCCGTGGCAGTGAGTTTTGGAGCATTAGGAGAAAATAAAGGACATGCTAAATGGGAAAATCTGGAAGATTTCTTCGTTAATATACTTTTTTTATTTGAAAATTTAGAAATTTAAAATTGATAAAAAAAAATACTGTATACGTAACACACATCTTTAATAATAAATTATTGTGTATATGCAATTGGTTAATTGTTAGATTGTTTAGCAAACCCACACTTAGGCTTGACGGGTTGTGCTGCCAGGCTTGCTGTGTCTAGCAAATTTTCCAAAGAAGTTCAAACAACTTGCATTCATTCCATTGCTTGACTATCTATTTTTGTCAAAAGAAAAAATATAAGCACCTACCAAAGCTAAAACACAAAAATACTATGAGTTATAATACCAGAACGGATCCAATCGAGGATGAAGTAAAAGTTGTACTGTTCCTTAGAAGTGATAGGCATCAAATGAAGAGAACCTTATTGAACTTTATCTCACAATGTGATAATCAATTTTAATATACTTGCTAATTTCATTAAAAACAAGATTAGCAGCTAATTACTTTAGCTGACTCACAAAACAGTACAAATGAAAATGGTGAGGAAGTTCCAAAATATTGTAAAAGTTATACAATCAATCGAGCTTCACAATATGCCAAAACCATACATCTATATTGTGTCTGTGTCTCTGATGATGATCTAGATTCCTTAGATTATTTCTTGCTTTTCCAGGATAATAAATTGTCCAAAGAAAAAACAGAAACCAAAAGTAGATCTTCTACAGTCAACACAGGAGCTCCAATCTGAATCTGTGTAAAATGTGAGTTTCAATCTGATGCAGGAAGGAAAAGACCTTTTTCCTAGTGAATATTTTATATACTTTAATACCTGAGAGAAGCCTAATAATAAGCAATAGGAGGACAATGAAAATACTAACAACATAGGATATATCTAGCTAGTATTAGTTAGATATATCATTTTCCAAGTAAACCTTCAATATTTTGTGTAACATCTAAGATTGGTCCAGAAATTTTGTGCAGATGATGAATATGATCCGTTTGTGCAGAAGAGGGTTTTGTAGCTAGTAATCCAGTGTCTTGGAAGTAAATCCAAATCATATTCAGAGGAGTTAACATACACTCAGAGTCGTGGTTCTAGAGAAAGGCAGAGAGTTGCAACTATATGCATTCTTGGAACATCTTACACAACTGACAAAGTGTCACATTTATCAGGACTCTAGCAAGCATTTAGAGTTTAGACTATAAAAACTAAACAATGATAATATTAAAAATATACCTTTCTTGGCCTTTTGGCCAAGATCAAATGTAGTATTTGTTCTTATCAATTTAATATTTGATACGTGGACCATTAGTTCACAAAATATGAAATTAAATAAATTTAATTTATTAAGGAAGAGGGTCAATGGTCCACAAGATATTAAATTAATTTTTTAAAGGAGAGGGTCCATTATAATAGCTTGCTATTAGGGCTTTCAAGCATTGCCTTTGCTTTGCACTACTGCCATTGCTTGTGAATTGATAATTCTCACCAAAAATTGTAACATTAATTGATGTGGTTTTTCTTATTATTTGTTTGTATTGTATTTCTCTGAAGTGCTTGGTACCTTCATACATCTGATAAATTTCAATTTTACAAATTCAACTACAGTTTGGCAATATCCAAAATTAGCCAATCCACGAGAAATAAATGTTCACCACGTTTACACTGTGTATCTGATGCACAAATAAAAAGTTTAAGCCATGATATCATTTCATTTTCAGGAAGTCCAAACAACTTGAATTCATTCAATTCTAAGAAGTTCTACTTTTGTAAAAAACAAAATTTCTCAAGCTACACACATAAAGCTAAGCCTAGAAAACAAATTAAAAGAGTGTGATAGTTGTAGTAAGAGAACTTGTCCACAATTGGATTACGTGAAGTAAAAGCCTTACTTCAAGGGACTAACTTAAGCACTGAAAAATTCATCATATTCTGAAATGACAATGAAAGCATATTTTGTAAACAATAAAAAGCTACAGAGAAAGATCACAGGTACTATATTTTAATTAAAGCCAAGCACTGTCCAACACATCTAGTTTAGTAGGCTCACTTCTCTGTATTTTTGCTTCCACACGTAGGAATACAAGCATCTAACTACTTTATAACAGAGCGTAAGGTACAAATGAAGATCTATTTTCTTTACTTCAAATTAATCCAATTATTCTATATTTCGTCCACTCAAAAGTAAAAAAAGGTCAAGCTCTTTGAAATTGTTAGTGTTAAAATGCAAAACCTTTTTCATACTTGTGTCCCATATCCAAAAGAGGCATAAACAACAATGTATTCATAATCATACTCACAAGGGATGTAGATTGCCGAGCTGAGTCACTCCAGCTTGTGACCGAAGTGGGGGCACTAATGTGATGGAACAACACTGGCTTGTTGGGTTGGGTTGTGGTTGCAACAAGTTAGTCTGTCCACTCCAAGTTGAGAGTTGAGTCTGGGGACTTAAGTGAAGACTTAGGTATAAGTCTCCTTAAGGCTGAGGGCACAGCGTGAGGCTGGTTTCACAGAGCAACCACCACCTCCTCTCCCAACAGTGGAGGGATTGCAAGCTACTTCTTCCACAGCCTAATGGCCTAGCGTGCCTGGAACTTCACTTTTTTTGTCAAAATAGAATCATGTTGAACTTTAACTTTTGACAATGTTTGAAAAGTACAAATTATATTCTTGAATTAAATTTTTAAATGATATAGTAATTTATATTTTCTATTTTATTTATATAGAATTGTGCATCCTAACTTCTACCTATTGGTCTTTGCTCTTAGATGTCCCACATATAGGTCAGCAACATAAATTAAGAAACACAAATCAATGGGTTGAGTTTCATCTCATCTCTATCTTCCTTATTATGAAGAAATCAGGTATAATCCCCCTTATTTTTCTGTTAATTAGGCTATGACGAAGTAAAACAGCATATAGGTTAAGAATGACCTTGATTAATCCTAAATCTACCGATACAGTCTTTAAATCTTCTAGCATATGAGACAAGCCTTTACTTAGATTACCAATCTATTATCTACAGCATTCGGGAGAATTTTTACTTTTAACACCTCAACCAATACACAATTTAGTGCACACTCCCAACAAAAATTTCATTGCTCTTTGGTATCTCATAAAAGCAAAAGTAATAATTAGACGTTTATTTATTCTTAACATGCCTCTTATTTGGATGGCCTTTTCAGCTAAGCATGAGTAATATGGTCAAACTTATCTTATACTGAAATTTAATTTACATTCAAAAGAATGTGCGCATCAAACAGCAAGATTGAAGTCTTGAATACCTAGTCAGGGAATTTATAGGATAGAAGGGAAAATAGTGTAAATAACAAAGGAATTGAGATACAACAGTGACTCAAACTGAAGTCTGAAAAGAACTAACAATTAGTCTGCATAACTGTTGAAAACTCTCTCATTCTGAAATTCTTCTAAACATAGCTTCACAATGAAGTCATCTTGAATTTTTTGCTCCTTCAGAAAACTATTCTTTTGCACAAGTAAAACCTCTTCAAATTAACTTGAATTCTATCTCAATCCAATTTCAAAATTATAATATTAATCTGATCGTCCATCATCTTACTGTTCTTAATCTCAAAAGCTTCAAGGCTTTATGAAACCCATATAGTTCTCCAGACGTAAGTTAGTGCTTCTAGTCCACTGAAAAATGTCATAATTATCAGGATAAATGTAACTAAACTATGTGTGTTCTTTTGAACATTCAAGAAGAACACAATGTAGTTTAATTACACCCATTATGATAATTAATAAATTTTTCACCTATCAAGTATTAAGTACTAACTTACGTCTAAACTTTCTATTATTTCAAAGTGCATCTGCATACTTGGAGGCATTTCAGCAAAATAATACCTCGAGAATACTTTTATTTTTCCCGCACTCTTAGGGACTTCGGATTCAAGCAGATACAGCATTTTGTCCTTTTCATTCCGTATCCAGTCCCGATGCTTGTCACTCCATTGTCTTGGTGTTCCATGAAGGATAAAACGGAGTTGAGGAGCTTCTTGCATGAGCCTTTTGGAGATTCTCTCAAACACATCATGGTTAGTTAAGTATGCCCCAGAAGTGTTCAGACCAACATCAACATAATGAATATCGCTGATGCTGTTCAGTAAGTCTTCCTTCGTTCTAGGTACAACATAAATATCCTCAGATCCCACATCAGGTGAATTCGCAATAGAACCAATATCTGAGAATCCAAGCTCGGTAACTATCTGGTTAAGCACAATTCCACCCTTGCTAAATCCAAGGATGAATGTCTTGGGATGAGAGAGAGAACATGAAGGAGTACAGCCAGACTTTGAATCTACTTGCGTTCCTAAAATTACTTTTTTTGCCTGCATTACAAGAAATTCAAAACATGGAGAGCATTCAGTGCAAGAGATAATTACAAGTTGCAAACAGACATAAACAAGAAGTGTTTTTAGTTTAACTATTACAAACACTAGTGATATATACACTCAGGTAGCATATTGCTTTCATGCCTTTTATTTATAATCATTAAATTAGAGAAGAAACAAGAACTTTAGGATTTTTAATACACTTGCTAAAGATTTTGCTTGGCCTCATATGGTTAGTAAGGTTAGATTATGAGAATAACTACTACAGTCAAGATGAAACTTTAAGTTGCAAGCAGTTGGCATGCCTGCCTGGCATTTAAGATGAGGATCATACTTCTTCAAGGCAACTAGATAAGAGCAACACCGTTGATGTAGATGCAGGGAAACCATTTGGATGGTATGACCTTGGCTCTCCATATTGATTCATAGACAGTACGAAGTCCTTATAAACAGCAAAAGGTCCATTAAAAATGGAAGCCTCAATAACCCAAGCATTGATGGAAGAACCAAATTTGGACACAATAATTTCAGACAATTTCTGTAAATTTGATAGCCTTTCAATCACTGGGTTACCAGTCCCTTCAACTCTGTCACCGCAGAAAAATATAGCATTGGCTATAGGTACCTGGAATAAATCAGAAAAATGTCAGGTAAATAATGTTTGGTGTGCAGAAGGGAAGGTGGTAAACCATAGTCCAAAACATCTTTATCCATGAAAATGAAACAGGGAATTCTGAATTTGAAGTTGCAACCACAGTAAAATGTTCTATTTTACATTTTCAAAATAGTGTAAACCTTTACACACAAATCCCTCAGTTCACAAAATCAACTACAGTTTTGGTAACCAAAAGATGCCAATCTGCCAGAAAAAGAAAATGCTTACGATTTATTATTTTCAATGAGTACAATTAAATGATTAACTGATTTCTACTCATGCACACATAAAAAGCACTACTATGCCATGATATGCTTCCATTTTCAGTAAGTCCATTGCTAAAGGAAATTCAAATTACTTGCATTCATTATATTGCATGATTTTCTACTTCTATTAAAAACAATGCTAAGCTACGTCCCTAAGCTAAATCACAATTAAAAAACTGATATATTGTAAGCAACTGATCCAGTTTTGGTTGATCTGAAGTAAAACTCAATGGTTATATATAAGTAATGTGGTTCCAGCTTAAGGAGTTAACTTACACACAGTGTTCTGGTTTCCGGGGAAAGGCAGAGAGATGCACCAACCCTATGGAATGTCCTGCTGTTAGGGTGAAGTGGGACTCTCAAAACTCCACTCCAACGTTCCATTTATAAGTCTACATAATATATGGTATCAAATACAGTGAATATAGAAAGTTTAATGTATTGCATAAACGGCAATCAAACTAACGAGTCCCAGTATCCAATATAGAGATCAAGAGAAGTTTAGTTCAGACATTTTTAAGAATAAAAATGTTTTGCTTGAAAAAGAAAAAAATATATCAGAGGGAATAAAAGGAAAGAGAATCTCAATATATTCTTCTGAAATCACAGGAAAAATCCATATGGAACAAGTCTAAATTAGAACAGGAGACAGAGATTTTGTTTCTTATTTGATGCATAATGAAACTAAATATAAGATAAAAGAAAGAATGACATATAAGATAGGAAAATATTACTTTTAACAAAAATATTACATACTTTGTTTCTGAAAGAATAAAAACCAAACAGAAACCATGAGTTTCATAATGCATTATTTGTGTACAAGAGAAAATTGGTTTTGCACTTGCAATGTAAGGCAGTTTTATACTTTTACACTAAATTCAATCATAAATGTACGTGTATGCTAAGTTTGTTGACTTTTACCAAAACTATCTTAAAAGGCGTTTGGTCATTTCTAATTGGATATTAGTATGAAACGACTTAATAATGTCACTGCATAACAATTAAACTTTTGTGTACAAAGTCAGCAGATTAATAATCACCCAGATTTTATTTTTTAAATAATTCTTAAAAAAATTACTATTTTTTCTGGTAACCTTAATGTTGGTTCGGAATATCCATAAACGATTGGTTGTAATGAAGCTATGAAAGCGGAAAAATGAGTTAATATAATAAAAAAAGGGGAAAAAAAAACATATAAGGAGCAGAAGCACATCAAATGACTAAACTGAAAACCGAAACTTCTGAGAAGTAATTCTTTGAAATTCTAACAATTCGAAACCAAAACATGAACAGAAAATAAAGGATGTGACTCACTACGCATTTCGTCTTCAGTAACTGAGTCTCATGGTTGCGTGTTTTCCTCTTGCTCGGGATTTTGGGTTTTTCAGTGGCGGTGGGTTTTAGAGCAGTCGGAGAAAATGAGGGTGATGAGAAAGAGAAAAATATAGAAAATGTTTTGGTATATATATATATATATATATATATATATATATATATATTCCTTTTTTTATGAAAATTTAGAAATTTAAAATTGATAAAAAATGAAAAAAGAAACACTACACATTTACTGTATACGTAATATTGTTTTACAGACATATCTGATAATAAATTACCGTTGGTTAATTTTTATAATATTATTTTCTTTAACAGTAAATAATCAATTTAAAGTTATTCAATCATATAAAATTAATCATTCATCTAATTAAAAAAATTTTAAATATTTATAAATTAAAATTATTTTTTATTTAATAACGTATCTAGTTATAATTAAGTTAAATAATTATGCTTAATTGGATTAAGTAATTTAAAAAAAATTAATAAAAGCATTTTAAAATAAATATTTTATTATTTTTAAAAATTATTTAAAAACTATATTTTAATATATTTTTATTTAATTTTAATATAGTATTTTTTAAATAGAATAATAAAATGAAATAAAAAATAAAAGACAGTAAGAGGAAAAATAGAAAAATAACGAGTAAACAATGAAAATAATAAATAAATAAAAATAAGGATGGATAAAAACAGAAAATAATCATAATAATAATAATTTATTATTATTATTATAATATAGAAAAATAACTATTTGTTAAAGAAATTATTTTCTATAATAAAATTGTGTAGATCAAACTAATTAGATAACTAAATTAATAAAGATTTTATTTTAATAATTTTTGTTTGTATTATTTATAACATTAGTAATTAAAGTGAGACGTAAATTAGTGGGAAACAAATATTTTATTTCGTCTTAAGGGAAATGGTAAAGAAATTAGTTATTTTTTACCTTTAACTTTTAACTTTTATGTATATATAAGAGAAAATAATAAAATATAAGAAAAATATTATTTTAAGGATTATTTTTATTTAAATAAATAATTTTTTTATATTTATAATTTTAAATATATATATATATATATATTAAATTTTTATTTTATTTTAATAGAATTTAATAGGAAATTTGATTACAAAATTTAAATGAATAATGTAATAATTTTTTATTTTATATAATATAATATTATTTGATCATATTATATATTATTAAAAATTTAATATATTAAAAATTTAATTAATAGTTCTATTAATACATTTATAATTAAATAAATATTTAATTTTAATTAGTTTATGAAGGTAAGAGGCTTCCATAAGTCATGCCTTCAAGTTTAACATTTTTTTATAAAATTAAAATATTTTTTTTTCATTTTGTTATTTTAAAAAACATATTATTTTAATTTTGATATTGGGGTTGGTTCCCCCTCTACTTAAACACAAGAACAAATAGTAGAATCTTATAATAAGTAACTTAAGCAAGCCCAAAAAGAAAACCTATAAAAATCCAAAAATGTTATAATTCAGTATATGCGTAAAACTCAGTCTATTATTCAAGTGTGAAGGCATTGGTTTTTATAACCTAGAGACTCAAAATAGAATAACAGTTTTACTGCTGTTACTGCAGCATAATAGGAGACATAAAATAAGGAAACAATTGACCCAGTACATCTTATAAAATACGAATAGTTATTGACACGTAAAGCATAAAGTAACTAACACTAACAAAATAAAGGAAATAAATTAGATAAGAAGTTAAATGATACTCAAAGTAAAGGATAGATATAAGAATAAATAATATCACTTTTAATTTAAAATATTAAAAGTATATATTAATATATATTCTTTATTTATTTATTTTATATATAAGACTTCAAAATTTATCTAAACAAAGAGAGTGCAAGAAAAATTATATAAAAAATCAGTATAATAAATAAAAGTTATTACTTCAATGATAATTTAAAATAATCTATATAGAAAATGTTTCTTACATTCGTTTGAAGTAGTCTTGGCTCCATAATATAGAATTAAACGAACTTTTTTTGGTTGATTCACATATCCTAAGAAGCTAAAGTTGAATATTTACATGTATGAGTATTGTTATATTTTTATCTATAGCAAGTTGAGCATAATCGAATGGACATGTACTTTTTCTTAGCATAGATACACGGGCAATATAAACAAATTATTGTTTCACAACCCTTTTTTATTAATCTAACAATAATAAAAAAGATATTTATATTTTCAATTTTTTTTCTCTTACTCTTTTACAAAAATTAATTTAAATGAATTTATAATAAAAATAATAATTTAATATAATTAGTAAAAACGTTGGTATTTATTAATAAAAATAAAAATATTTGTATTAATTTTATATTTAAATTTTAAAAAATAAAAAGCAAAAAAAAACTGTTTTATTAAAACAGTTATTAAATAATTTTTAAATTTTTTTAAAAAAATAAAAAATTATTTGAATAAACATTTTTTTTGCGGCAGTTCGACCTGGTTATGATTTTCCCCTTAACACAAGCAATGTCTTTGGTGACATGAGAACATCCATGGGATAAGTATTAGTAGTTAACGTGAAACACGTTGCCCATGGAATTCCTTGCAACGTTTGATTCATGGTCTGTGAAGCACGCAACTAACAATGATTAACAATTAAATTCGTTCAACTAGTTATTTAGTTTTCAAAATTGTGATCGTAGGTTAAATTAGTTTTTGGAATTAATGAAATGTTAAAATAGTTCAAGAAATTATATATTATTAACTCATTTTGTGCTTCAAAAGTATAATGAAATAAATTTTAAAATTACAAATCATCAATTAATTTAAGAATTATTTTATTATTTCATTTCAATGATCAGTTTGACTGTATATTATGATTAAACATCTAATTTTTTGTTTATTACAATGTGAAGTTCATTGATAATTTTTTGTTTGTTGAATATTAAGAGATATTAAGTTAAAATCTGATATTTACATTGTATATATTATGCTTTTGAAATACGTTACCGATGAAATTAAATTTTAGTCGCAGCAACCCCCAGAAAACTTTGAAATATATTATGCTTTTTGAATTGCTGGGTGTGGATTTGTTTTTAATATTTTTTTTAGCGCAGGTAATCTATTTTTACTTAAAGAATATTTAAAAAAAATATTTTATTAAAATATTTTTTTATCATTTATATCCATCAAATTATTTAAAAACATTTTCTTTCATATATATATATATATATATATATTAATTCAAATAATTATTTTTTTTCTTAAATTCATCTTTCGTTCCCTTGATTCAAACAATTATAAAAGAAAAACTGGAGAATAAAATAGAATCGGTTCCTTGGAAGCGCGTCTGAAGATATTCTATTGTTTGTTTTTGAATGGTTCATGTCTGCTATGTTATCACAAAGAAAGATACCCTTCGTAGTTTTCATTGCACCTACTTGGGACACTGATTGTGCCTACTTCATTTTCACACATCACAAATAATAAATAAAGAGATTGGGACCATATTCATCGTACTTCGTGTAAGAACTTATAATATATATATATATATATATATATATATATATATATATATATATATATATATATATATATATATATATATATAATGAAATTAATTTTTTATTTATTAAAATAAATTTATGTATGAGTTAAAAAGATAACAAAAAGTCGACCTATTTTAATTATATATATATTTTTTTTTCAAAAAGAATAGCTCACATTGCAAATTGTTTATTTACATATTAGTGGCACTATTGCTAGAAAATATGAATATTTACATTGATTCCAAAAGTAAAAACTGAAATATGATAAAATAAAATATGTATAATTTATTTATAAGATACAAATACATATAGGTTATTAGAAAATTAAAATATTTTACAATTATATTAAATTATAATTAATTAATATATAATATGTATCATGATATTATATAAAGAGAATAAAAAAAATTTCTCAATACTCTCCTTTAAATTCGAATATATAAATATGATGATAAGGTATTTTAAAAATATTTTATTTAAGACGATTTTTGTTAAGATAAATAG